CGATCACGTAGTAGTGGAAAAGTTTTCCCACAGACGGCGCCACTGTTCTGCCGTGGGCAGAGGTGTCCGACTGTAAGTCGGTTGTTTGATGTTGGATCTATAGCTTTCTCTCTAGATACCTATGGAGTAGGTATCTTGGGGACAGCGAATCACTACACACAATATGATGGCCTTAGCCTGAAGGGGTGTGTGTGTGCGATGTCGTGCTTGAAAGAAAATAGGGTTAGAGAGAGATCAGCCATACCTGTGGTCTTTAGCTCCTATTTATAGAGCTTACCTTTGGGCTTGTGTAGGTTGGGCTTCTTGCTGTCGTGGGCCTTTCCCTGGTCCATAACATATATATATATATATATATATATATATATATATATAAAGCTTCAAGTAATGAATCTACCACAAAACAAACAGTGTAGTAACTAAGGAAAACAAAACATAAGACCTATAATCGATAATGTAATATCATAAACCCTCTGGAAACACAAGCATCAATCTCACTCAAAAGCCATGTTAGGTCCTGGATAGACCGTATTGCTATACCGTGAGGTATGCGCTCAGAGATAATGTATAATCAGATGTATACTAGGCTTATAGCCGAGGTCCCAATCACTGCGCACAAGCAATAGGCTTATAGCCAAGGGGTGGGTGTGTGCACAGTGTGGGCAGTATTCGTAAATAGGTTCAAAGTGTGTACCTGGGGTCCTTAGGCTCTTATTTATAAGGATTACCTTCCTAGGCTTGGGCCTTTTGAGCTCCCCAGATTGCATTAGGGTTCAGCTCCCTTTCTGTTGGGATGTGACCCTTATCTTGTGCCCTTTGACTGTTTAATGTTGTTGAGATATTCATGAATCTATCTCTTAGTAGATTCTTAGGTGAGTAGTTGGGATATGATATTCATATCCATAACAGTTTCCCCCCAGCTCGGTATTCCGAGGCTCGGAATGCCGAGGTGTTTGCTATATCATCTCGGATTTGATTCACCCGAGTTCACTCATTTCGGTATTGAGCCTTTGAAAGTTTGGGTCCACGACATTACTCGGAATCACTTTTGCCGAGGTCGTTCGCGTGATGCTTTTTGACCTTCCTTGGTATTGTATGTTGAAATCGGTTTTTAACATGTCGGATTCGCCACGAGTCCGACCTATGCCTTCAGGCATTGTTTGTTCCGAGTTTCGACTTCGTTGTATCGGGCCGAGTTGAAGTTCTTGGTCATGTTACGACTTTCGGCTGCGACCTCATGGACTTCAAGTCTAACTATAGTAGACCTTTAGCTTGTCCGCGTTCCAAGTTCTCTTTACTGGTTTGTTGGAGATAGTTTCCAAGGTGTAGGCTCCCTTTCCCAAATTTTCCTTGATTTTGCAGGGGCCTTCCCAGTTCGCGGCGAGCTTTCCATCTCTGGCGTTCTTGTTGCCGATGTCGACTCTTCTTAGCACCAAGTCGCCGCTCTGAAATGACCGAGGTCTGACCTTCTTATTGAATCTAGCAGTTACTAGGTTTCTTCAGTGGCGGATTGGGTGCTTGTCCTGTAACCCCACAAGACGAGGTGTAGTTGTTGCACCCAATTTCCTTTGGCATCGAACAACCTTTTCTTGAGCCCATTGATAATCACCTTGTTAGCAGACTCGGCTTGTCCGTTGGTCTGAGGATGTTCCACTGATGCAAACCGATGTGTGATCTTGAAGTCGGTCATTAACTCCTGGAACTTTTTATCAGCGAACTGTGTTCCATTGTCTGTGATGATCTCGGCAGGAATTCCGAATCGGCTAATCAAGTTTCTTTCAAAGAATCTTTGAATCCTAGCCGAGGTAATGGTGGTGAGGGGTTCGGCCTCGATCCATTTGGTGAAGTAGTCGACTGCCACTATCAACCACTTGAGCTGTCCTTCAGCCGCGGTGAAGGGTCCCAACAGGTCCATCCCCCATTTGAAGAATGGCCATGGTGCCGTGATAGTTTGCAGCTCTTCAGGGGGTGCACGAAGGATGAACGCGTGCTTCTGACACTGTTCGCACCTTTTGACGTGCTCCTTCGCGTCTGCCTCCATAGTAGGCCAGTAATATCCTGCCCTCAGTGCCTTCCTGGCTAGGGCTTTTCCTCCCATGTGATGTCCATTTATGCCTTCATGGATCTCGGCCAACGCATATTCAGCTTCATTTTTATTTAGGCATTTCAGCATGGGTGTGTAGAAGCCCTTTTTGCATAGTTGCCCTTCTACTATGGTGAAGTGAAGCAGGCCGAGTTCTTAACAAGTTTTCTGGCCTCTTGTGTCTCGTCTGGCAGGACCCCTTTTTCCAAGTAGGCCACTATTGGCCTTCTCCAATCCTCAGTCGCGGTTATGACCATGACGCAGGTCGGCTCTAAGATGCTTTGCTATATCACGGTTCGGTGATTTCCCGATCCATTCGAGCTGGCGAGCTTTGACAGGATGTCCGCCCTGCTGTTTTCATTTCGGGGTATATACTGGATTATTACCTCGTCGAATTCGGCCAACAGCTCCTTGACTTGTTGGAGATATTTCATCATGAGAGGTCCCTTAGCTTGATATTTTCCTTCAACTTGTGAAGTTACCAGTTGCGAATCACTGAGGATTTTTATCCTTCTTGCTCCGTGCTCCTTTGCTTGCACAATCCCTGATATGAAAGCCTCATATTCAGCTTGGTTATTCGAGGTTGGGAATGCTAGGTGAAGTGAATGTTCAATGGACACTCCCTCCGGGCTTTCAATTACTACCCCAGCTCCGCTTCCTTTAGGGTGTGTTTGGTACAAGAGAAATTTTTTAGTGACCGGGAATCATGATTAATGGGAATTCAGTGCTCCGCTCCCTTTGAGGTGAAGTTTCAATGGACACTCCCTCCGGGCTTTCAATTATTACCCCAGCTCCGCTCCCTTTAGAGTTTGAGGATCCATCGACGTATATCGTCCAGAGATCTTCATTCCCTTCTCTCTTTTCTTTGGACGGGGTTAACTCCAAGATAAAATCGGCCAGCGCCTGAGACTTGATTGCCTGCCGAGGTTCGTATGAAATGTCGAACTCGGAGAGCTCGACAGCCCAGTTAATCATCCTCCCAGCTAGATCCGGCTTGTGTAACACTTGCCTGATGGGCTAGTTGGTTCTCACGACTACTCGGTGCCCTTGGAAGTAAGGTCGGAGTCTCCTTGCCGTGGTAAGGAGAGCAAACGCCACCTTCTCGAGCTTCTGGTAACGGAGTTCAGGTCCTTGCAGTGTCCGGCCTACGTAGTAGATCGGCTGTTGTGATTTGTCGGTCTCCCTTACCAGAGCGGCGTTGATGGCCTCTTCGCCCACAGAAAGGTATAAGATCAATGCTTCTCCGGGCTCTGGCTTGGACAGTGCGGGGGGTGGCCAGGCAACTCTTTATATTTTCAAATGCCCTTTTGCATTCTTCCCCTCATCCGAACTCTGCCTCCTTTTTAAGGAGCTTAAAGAAAGGTAAAGCCTTTTCTGCCGACTTGGGCAGAAATCTTGTTAAGGCCGCAAGGCGACCCGTGAGTTGTTGGATTTCTCTCTTGCTTTCTGGTTGCTTCATCGCGAGGACGGCCTTGCATTTGTCAGGGTTGGCCTCAATTCCCCGGTTGGTGAGCATGAAGCCCAAGAATTTTCCAGCTGGTACTCCGAAGGCGCATTTGGCCGGGTTCAATATGATCTTTCGAGCTCTTAGTTGCTCGAATGTTTCCCTGAGGTCGGCTATATGTGTAGTTATATGCGCTGACTTGACGATCATGTCGTCGATGTACACCTCTGGGTTTCTTCCAATTTGATCTTGGAAAACGGTTCATCATCCTTTGGTAGGTTGCCCCTGCATTCTTGAGGCCAAAAGGCATGACGTTGTAGCAAAAGTTTCCCTTTTCCGAGATAAACGAGGTCTTCTCGTGGTCATCAGGGTGTAGCGGGATTTGGTTATACTCGGAGTATGCGTCCATGAAAGATAGTAGCTGAAATCCTGACGAATTGTCAACTAGCTGGTCAATGTTTGGCATCGGGTACGAATCATTCGGGCAGACCTTATTGAGGTTGGTGTAGTCCACGCAAATTCTCCACTTCCCACTCGGTTTCTTCACCATCACCACGTTGGATAACCAGGTGGTGTATTGTATTTCCCTGATGAAACCGGCCTCCAACAGCTCGTCCACGTGTTCGTTCAAAGCCTGACGTCGGTCAGATCCTATCTTCCTCTTCTTTTGGGACACTGGCTTCGATCCCGGGTACATAGAGAGCTTATGACAGCAGAAAGCTGGGTCTATTCCCGGGATCTCCGAAGCCTTCCATGCGAACACGTCGGAGTTTTCACTTAGGAAAGCGGCCAGCTCCCTTTTGAACTCGTCCTCAAAGCCCTTTCCCACCTTAGTGTGCCCTTTTTCTTCCTTCCTAATGCTGACGTCTTCCAGCTCTCCTTGGGGTTATGGACGAGGGGCTTGGAGCTCCTCCCTCATGTCCAGCTCCACCAAGTTTACTTCGTTTCCACATGGGTGTAGAGATTGGTCCCTACCTCCTCCATTTTTGTGCCGAGGGGGAGAAGACGGGCCTCTTTGATTTACTCGTAGGGTCTCATAGTAGCACTCCCTGGATTCTTTCTGATCCCCTCTTATGGTGATAACTTCGTTCTTTGCCCCCAGCGTCTTCAGGGCTTGATGCTTGGTGGAGATCAACATGTTCCAGTCGTGTATTGTAGGTCGGCCAATGATCACATTGTAGGACGACTCGGTGTCTACTACGACGAAACGAACCCTTCCAGCACGGAATGAGTCCTTCGTCCCTAAGGTCAGCTTCAAATCAATGTAGCCCTTTGGGGGGGATGACGCTCCATTGAACCCGACCAGCTCGGTGATGCATGGTTTCAAGTCCTTCTCGTCCAGGTTCATCCTTTGAAAAGCGTCCTAGAGAAGTATGTCTGCCGAGCTCCCGTGATCAATAAAGATTCTCTTAACCCGGCAATTGACTAGCACTCCAGTGATCACCAAGCCGTCAGTGTGTCCGGGTACAACCATTTCTAGTTCCTCCTGAGTGAAGAACAGTCTTGGGGGGTAGAATTGTTGGGTTTCCCTTTGAAGGTTGGCCTGTCTCTTACTGACATGACCTCCTTCAGGTACTTTCTTCTTGCGTTGGCCGTGTCTCCTCCTCCACCCAGAGCTCCGCTTATCACGTTGCACTCAAATTCGGCTTCCTGAAAAACCTCATCTTTATCTTCGACCTCTTTGCCCTTTGTAGGGCGGTCTTGTCTCTGATCCTTTCTATCCTCTCTCTTCAGGCTCCGACTTAGGCTCTGGCTTCTCCGCCTTCGCTTATTATTCTTCTTGCCCTGAGTTCTGATGATGTATTGTTTCAATTTCCCCTCTCTGATGTGTTTTTCGATGGCATCTCGGAGGTCCCAGCAGTCATCCGTGATGTGACCGTTCTGGTCATGGAAAGCGCAGTATTTGTTTCTATCCAATCCACTCTTGGCTTTCAGGGGTCGAGGTCTCTCGACATTGCGCATTTCAGTCTGGGCCACCTCTTTCCATATCCTAGACCTGGACATGTTCAAAGGCGTGTAATCATCATATTTGCTCCTTGGGGATCGGTCATCCGACCTATTCTCCCGAGTGTCTTTTCCCTTCTTCGCCCCCCGTTGATCCCGGTCTTTGTTTTTCTTGCTTGGACTCTTGTTATTCGGGCTTCGACCTCTGGATTCCCCATAAGCCTTCTGCATGTCCTCCACATCAATGTATTTGTCCGACCTTCGTCGGAACTCCTCCAGGTCATTGACCGGGTTCTTGTAAATTGACTTCGCCAGTGGAGAATCGCCATCTAATCCCGAGATGATCAGATGCAAGTGTACTGGCTCAGTTAAATTCTGAACCTTTAGGGTGGCATCTTTGAACCTATTGAGGTATTTCCTCAATGATTCATTCTCCTTTTTTCGGATTCTTCCCAAGGCGTAGGCCGGCATTGGATGCGCCTTGCTTGTTGCGAAATTCAACCGGAAAGTTCGGTCTAGGTCCTCGAACGAGTCAATCGAGTTCCTAGGAAGCCTGGTTATCCAGGCCATTGCCTGGCCTGTTAACATCGTCGCGAAGATTCTGGCTTGATAGGTCTAGTTATCCCATTGAACAACATTTCGGTCTTGAAAGCCTCTAAATGGGCCTCCGGGTCTTGACTTTCGTCGTACGGTGGTATCTTGGCACTCTTGAATCTCGGCGGTATTGCCAAGTTCATGAGCCTTTCAGTGAATGGGCTATCATTAGCCTCCTCATGAAGGAGATAATTATCTCCTTGGTTGTTGACTAGTCCTCCGCCCTCCTGGTGGTTGTCATGGCGGGGAATTCTACATATTTCCTTCTATCGTGGCCGCGTTTTGATGTTGTGGCTCATTAGCCTGGCCTGCGCTTCCACCTCGTCCTGCTCCTCTAGCTTGGCCTGCTCTTCCACCTCGGCCTGCTCCTCCAGCTCGTCCCACAAGGTTTTGATTTTGCAGCTCAGCCTCCAGCGCCTCCATCCTCTGGGCATTCAGCCCTTGTTGAGCCAGGAATCTGTTCTCCATCTCCTGCATCCTTTGGAGGATCGCATTCATGGCCACAGTGGTTATGTCCCTGAATTGTTCATTATGTGGAGGTGGGCGCACTGGGCCCGCTATCGTGTTGGGTTGGGTTCTGGAGGGCAGTCCTTGAGTGCCGACCTCGCTGACCTGGACTTCTACTAGCACAGGGGTCACAACTGATTGGAGTTGTTCCAATGCAGGTTGGTGTGGAGGCATTTGGGAAGTGCTAGACGTCGAACGGGTGTTCGTCATCGTGGAATGGGAATCGAAATTTATCGTCCCCACAGACGGCGCCAATGTTAGGTCCTGGATAGACCGTATTGCTATACCGTGAGGTATGCGCTCAGATAATGTATAATAAGATGTATACTAGGTTTATAGTCAAGGTCTCAATCACTGCGCACAAGCAATAGGCTTATAGCCAAGGGGTGGGTGTGTGCACAATGTGGGAAGTATTCGTAAATAGGTTCAAAGTGTGTACCTGGGGTCCTTAGGCTCTTATTTATAAGGATTACCTTCCTAGGTTGGGCGTTTTGATCTCCCCAGATTGCATTAGGGTTCAGCTCCCTTTCTGTTGGGATGTGACCCTTATCTTGTGCCCTTTGACTGTTTAATGTTGTTGAGATATTCATGAATCTATCTCTTAGTAGATTCTTAGGTGAGTAGTTGGGATATGATATTCATATCCATAACAAGCCCATTTATTCTCATTCTGAATGGCCTCTTCTTCTTCAGGACTAAATTCATTCTTTATATTGAAGTATTGGCATATCTCCTATTCTTCAGGACTAAAATCATTCTTTATATTGAAGTATTGGCGTATCTCTTCTGGACTCTCATCCTTTATCAAGTTTGCCATAGTTTGACATGTCAGATCCAACAGACTCTCAATTTCCAAATAATTTGCCGCCTGAAAAAGAAAAGTACCACAAATTAACAATACTATAAAAGCACTTTGATTAAACAACACATCAACGCTAAGATATATATATATGGATAAACATACATGACAAAATTTCTAAAATATACAAATCCCTAATCCAAAGTTAGATTCCATAAAGTAAAACACAATTTGTAAAAATTAGGATAGAAATAACGAAGATGTAGCACATTACAGATATGTATTAATTTGCGCAATTCAATGGATTTTTACCTTTTTTCACCTTTAATTTTAGCAAAGTACTGATTCTGCAGTTAAAATTTGCGCTTTCTTGATTATTCATTTTACTCACTTATAAAGTTAAAATTTTATGGGAAGTGATTTTTTTTACTTGAAAATTCAAATTCAGGGAGACACAAACCCCTCAAATCAGAATGACATTCTATTTAATTGAGAATTTAAAATAAAATTAAATATAGAGCAAAAGTTGAAAATCAAATCCAAATTACCAATAATATTAAGTTATTAACACTTATCAGCGAAACAATTATTATTTTTTTTAATTTTTGTTATCTCGAGATAATAAAATCCATGTTAAAATTAGGAGGATACACCATCGGATTAAAAACCATTCACTAACTATAACATTATTAAATGGTTGAGACAATTGTTATATATGTGGATGTGAATATTTAGATGCACTCACCATCAATACAAGGAAGAGGGTGTGCTTATCCACCTCAACAAATTCATCATCCCATTTTTTGAGAGCATCTATGTTGTTGTTGTCGTCGTCCTCTGCATGATGCTTGTTGCAATACTCAAGAACCTTTGCGAGGACGAGACTGTTGACATTCTCAAGAGGAATAACACCGATTGAACTATCACCGCTTCCTCCACCTCAAACATGTTTTTCTCTGAACTACGCAATTTTATCATCTTGTTAGAAGAAGAAAAAGAAGAAGAAGAAGAAGAAGAAGAAGACATGGTCAAATGTAAAGAGAAAAAGATTGTAGAGAGATAGGGCACAATGAGTAGAATAAGCATTGAGAGGGTTGGGTTTGCGTTGCACTTATATATATAGAAAATTATTAAGGATTTTTTTCCCCTCAAGTAACTCAGAAATAGGATTACAAAATTGCATAAATCTATTTCAAATTTGAATCAAATCAGAACAAGATATTCTAAATTCATTATCTAGATTATATATGTATTACTTGGGAATTCATAAGATTTATTTATACTGGTTGAAAATTCACTTTATTATTTGTTCCGTCAAAATACTGATTGATAAGATTACATGGTAAATTTTAATCTATAATTTGATGTAATCTTATCAAAATCATGAGATTATCTATTAATTAATCCTTGTTTTCGGATACAATTAATTAGTATCCCTTATAAAATACGCAAAGATATTCAAAAAAACTATTATCTTTCAAGATCCAACTTATGGTAATAACGGGTTTTTTTAATAAAAATAAAAAATAAAATAAAATCTTTAAGGAGGCGGTGGCCAAGATTGTAATCTCACTTTGGTTTTATTTTATTTTTTTAGTTTTTTTTAAAAGTCGAAATACACATAAACTGAGAAAGTCCATCTAAATAGACTCTTAAGAAAAAAACGAAAATTACCCGCATCGTATCATCTTTTCTTGTTATCTTTATTTAACCAAAAATATATATTTCAGTCAATCAAATTAATTATGAAAAAATATTTGTCCTTTTAAAGGATCTAATCTTATATCATTTTAGATCATAACAGTTGATTTCCGTCAATTAACAGGTAAGATTTATTGGGTTTTATTGTGAATTAATAATTAATTAATAAATTTGACCTAATAAATCTTAATCGTTGATGAACGCAAATCAACGGTTAGGATATAAAAGGACATAAGTTTAGATCTTTAAGGAGGCGGTGGCCAAGATTATAATAACGTTAATAAAGGTATAGTATCCCTTTATGGTGTGCAACTCTCATTCTCTGCAACTCTTTTTGGGTCAGCATTTGAGAGGGTTGGGTTTGCGTTGCACTAATATATATAAAAAACTATTAAGGATTTTTTTTCCCTCAAGTAACTCAGAAATAGATCACAAAATTGCATAAATCTATTTCAAATTTCAAATTTGAATCAAATCAGAACCTTGAATGATTATAATAAAAGATATAATTATTATTAATTGTGACGTTTTCAAAGTTTCAACCTTGAATGGCATTGATTGTGAAATTCGAATTTCAAAGTTTTCACCTTAAAAGAAAATAGTAAATGACATTGATTGAGAAATTGAAATTGAAGTTTGGAAGTTTTTAACCTTGAATAAAAATAATAAATGATATAATTAGTATTAACTAGAAAGTTTTCAACCTTCAATATTTTATGAAAGAAATCAGTAAAATCATCATGAAAAAATGAGATATAAGCAGTCTAAGCACACTATTTTTATTTTTTTATTTTTTCTGGTCAGGAGGGGAGCAAAATCATTGTAATTATCTTTGATATGCTTTGCCAATTTAGCACAGCTTATTGAAAGAATTTTGGGAAAGCTATAGTATCAATAATTAATGATTCCAACACAAGGTTTAAAATTCAAAAATTATAGACACAAAGGCATTAACAAGAGCAGCAACAGTAAACCCCCCTTAATTTCGTTAGTCAAAAGAAAAATAAAAAAATAGAACATATTCACAAGGCAAACCCAAACAAAAGAATAGAAAAAAAGAAGAAAAAAAGACAAAGAAGAACAACTTAATTTCCAAAGAGAACCCCATCGACTTTTATGAAAGTGGCATTCCCAGCAGTTAAAAACCCTTCATCATCATATGCATATCCAATTCTTCACAATTTTTGGGTTGTCTTTATAATGATTCTTTTACCATAAAATAACACTTTTTTAAAGATTAACACTAAGAAATTGTAGAGGATCCGGATCTGGCTTTAGAGTAAGAAACCTCCTATATATCTCTGTTCATGATTGTAATAGGCTTTATGGCCTTTTGTATTCAATTGAAGTTGAAACTGTTATTTCTTTCTTTTATTTTCTAGGTTGATATTCTTTAACCTCTTTTGTGCATTATCATCATGGGTTTAATGTTTGTCATTTTAGGAGAGAGATAGACACAAGGAATGAAAATCATGGGATAGAAAGAAAGTGGGTGGTTTTATTTATTTAAATTTTAATTAAAAAATATATTTTTATTTGTGTCTTTCTCTCTCTCTCAAAATGACATAACTTTATGTCATTTAAAATGAAAACACTTTTCCCTATCATCATTTGCTTAATTTGATTTTGAATGTTTAAATGTTAGATAACTCAAAACATATAAGATTGCCATAAAGCATAGCTTATATCTTTTATTTTTCGATATAAGTAAAAATGTAGATCTAATTATTCATGCCATGCACGCGATTATTAAGTAAGTGGTGTATATATTTGCTAAATTATTATAATAAATATAAATGTATTTTGATATACAATTTGAAACATATAGAAATTTATTATAAAACACTATTTTTATTTAAACTAAAACAATAGCCGCCAAGATAATTTTGTGAAGCAGGCCAAACAAAAGGGCAATCAACTGGTACAAAAAAAACAATGCTTTGACCACTAAACTTTCTACCCCTAGTAGCGAGTTTGTTATGCTAATGGGAACGTACCACGTGACATAACCAAACTTGCTACTAAGCGTAGCGAGTTTGGACGCATGGCAATCTTTTTAAAAATACTATTGGCATGACATTTAATAAATTTTTTTAAAAAAGGGATTTGTTGGACACTGTTCCATGATTCTTTCTATATGAAAGCCTATATATAATTAAACATGTGCGGTGACTCTATCAGGAAAATAAGCGCCTGAGAGCAATGTTATTAAAATCGGTCTGGTCATTAACTCGGTCGAGATACTGGGTTAGTGGTTCAACTAGTGGTTCATTGGTTGAATCGCATGAATCGGTGATTATATATAAATCTATAGTTCATATTAAAAAAATTTATAAACTTACTCAAATAGCTAAAAAAATTAATTTAAATTTTTAAATTTTTTAATATAAAAAATAATAAATTTTACATTATTATCCAATAAAGAATCAAACAAACATATAGTGCTTGTGATACTGGTGTTTCAGGTTGAGGAAATGACCTGAACAAACATATAGTGCTTCAGACAACTTAATTAGAGGAGGAAGGTAGTGTTGTGAAAAGTGCTCTTCTGGGAACACTTGTAATTTCATTTGAGTTGTTTTCTTGATTGCATGAAGGGGCAGTGTGAAAAGTGCTCTTCTGGGAACACTTATTGTTGAGATTTATCTTTTCTTCTGCATTTTCCATGCTTGCTTTTCCTTTCACCTAATGGTAACTCTTTATTCTCTGCTGTACACATTTCTTCCTACTTTTTGGAAGCTTCTTTTCAACGTTTCCTGCAAAGTGGTCAGAGAGATTGAGTTACAGGTGCATTTAATGAACCAATCTATTCCCTTTTTTCCTATATTTCTCAAATGATTACTTCATCAACTGTTCCTTACTGTGTTTTTGTTATAGAGATCTAAACATGTGTTTTTAATGCAAAAATTGGTCACCAGATGAAGGAACAGATGGCCTTTTACTGCCAAAATGAGCTTAGATGGGAACAAATTTTCATCCCATTAACATGCAACATATAACAGTTTATATCCATATACCGTATGAAAGAACCACCCTTCCTTGAAGTTTGGTGGAACAAACGGAAGATTAACCCTAAGGACCGAAAGCTTACCTAACAAGCAATGTCCTCCAACAAATCTCGTGTCCATAGAGTCACAAATGCGATCTCTCGCAAGGTCACAACCTAGTTCTAAGATGTGAAGACAATTAGTACATAACTAAAGTATCACATTTAATTTCCAATACTACACATACAAGACACCTACACTTGATTTTGACTCCAATTTATCAAAATGTTCTAAAGGGCGATTTTATAATTTTTTCTTTCTTGGGAACCTATCCCAAGCATGTTTAACAAAGGGACCAACCTACAAATCACCCTCCAACTACTCATACCATTAAGTTTTCGAAATTGACATATAGTCAAAACCATGATTTTCTACAGTGAGCTAAACAGTGATTTCTTTTGTTCTCTTTCATCAAGAAGCACTCCTAAGCATATTTAAAAAGGAAATTATATCCAAATAACTATCTAACTATCCATACCATCAAATCCCAATTTACAAACCCTAATCTCATGTATTTTCTCCAAAAACACAAAAGGGAAGTTGGGTACTTACCTTGGAAGCTTCAATAACAAAGATTGCAATAATAACTTAAGTATTTATCCACTAAAACTCTTCCTCCTTGCCCAAATCTGAAATGCTCTCTCTCAAAGTGGGTTTCTTTTCCTCTCACAAATAAACATCAAATGACAAAGATGTGGAGATGAGGTAGAGGATGAAGATTGGGTATTTGTCTCTCTTGCATTAGGAGTGAATAGTTGAGCAAAATGGGAGGAAAAAAGAAAGCTCTTCTTTGTTTGAGAGAAAGAGGCAGCTACGGGTGAGGAGAAGAAATGAGGAAAATGGGAGGAAAAAAGTTTTTGGCGCCGTTGCCGGAGACTAAAAATCGACAATAGTAGTACCTGTGGGTCTGAATAGTCATCTCTGTTTGACCATCAGTCTGAGGATGATAAGCCGTGCTCAGTCGCAACTAAGTGCCGAAAGCTTGCTGTAGTGCTCCCTAGAAGCGAGATGTGAACCTTGGGTCCCAATCACTTACAATGCTCTCGGGCACCCCGTGAAGTCTCAAAATATCCTTCAGATAGAGTCGAGCCAACTGCTCTGTAGAAAAAGTCACCTTCACTGGCAAAAAATGGACATACTTCGTAAGCCTATCAACCATAACCCATATAGAATCATATCCATCTCGAGTCTTGGACAACCCAACAACAAAATCCATATAATACCTCTGTGAGCTAAGCTTACTATAGGACGTCTCCTAATCGGGGTTTTAACTTATCCATTCACCTGGCCAGGGGTTTATATAAACTTCTAAGGGAATTCTACATCCTTGGATTCATCATCTTCGTCACTAATACATGTAACGTATTTGCTATACAAATCAATTCATCTTACAAATACAGAGTGATATCCTCAAACAGTCATAGAAGATTTAAACCACATTATTTCATGTGTCTATATTTAATGACAAGAGTGTAATCACTCATTCAAGCCATCACTTTAACAGCATGCTTCAGTTACATAACCAAAATATCATGTCTTCATCATTATTTATTTATTTATTTTACATGTAGCTTATTATCAGGAGCCAAAAAAATAGCAATCCCAATAAAACATATTCACAATATCACAACCGACTTAGCATGAAACTTGAAGCTATATCTCTTTCGAGAGACAATAACTTATCCGTAAATGCTCCCATGAATAATACTCATAGTAACGTGCTATCTTCACTTAAGTACCCTTTTTCATCATAATTTTAATAAAATGGAAGCTTTAAACATATAGGCAGAGAACACCTATCATAATACTCATAAGCTTTCTCATAATAATTTGCACATCAAACTTTATAGCATTCTTGGCAACCCTGAAGCATGCATATTGGCATTATCCTTCCAAAAGAGTACATAGGGTCCAAAAAATGTAGGCATTAACATAATACTTAGTTATATAATCTTAGCACAAGACCCATCCCACAAACGAATATATATATACTCATGAATATTAGTTTGGTCTTTCATTCGTGGATTCTCATGTATAATCTGAACACTTGGGCAGTCAACATCATATATAAGATAACTTTAAATTAAATCACACAATGCTATAAAAGTAGCACAAAGTATAGTGACATGAGAGACTACTATATGTCCAGCAATAATCATTCACACATATCTTAGATATATAAATTTTCCACCAATTAGTAAGCTATGTGGTAACTAATATACTAGCCACAAACTTATCTGGTTATAACCGTACAATGCAATTTCCATGAACTTTGGTTGAACAGAAAGCATACTTGGATGCAATGCACACTTGAGTTACACATTGTCTCAAGGAAGACAGAACATATATGATGAGTAAGTGGAAAATAAATGTCACAACTTGTGTTTATTTAGACTTGACTTCAGAAAATCATATAAATTCGAAATCTTTACCAAATGACTTGAAATTTCAATGGAGTAAAGTCGACCTCTGGGACTTCAAAATGATATAAGATTTTACTCCTTTGGAGGTTTGTAGATCCAGAAATAGATTTTTTGAAAACAGTGGACATAGATGACACATTACAACATTTTGTTGATTTTTACGTAGAGTTGGTTCCAACTATACGTATTTTGACATACCAATCCCAAGAATACGAAACTCTCCAGTCTGAAAGTACTTTAGTCCCCTGATTTGTGGCCTCAAGAATCACATGAATTGGATTCCTGAGGCCTGAGATGTGCAGCTATCAAGTTAGCTATTCAGCTTGAAGTGCAAAACAAGGCAGTCAAATTACATCTTGCACAACTCCTTGAATTTTTGCTCAATTGATCTGATATTTTAGAGGCATATAATACACTTATCTATATTTGATATGCAATTAGAACCACATTGTTTTGAGGTCTCTAGGTCGAGATATCCATCCAGGAAGTTGGCTGTTCAAATCAGTAATCTATGACAGCAATCGAAATAATCTGTCAACTTTCTAACGGAACTGAAGCCACTAAGTATTCTCAAACAGACTATAAATTTGCAGAATAATAGCTTAATGAGTCAGCTTTTTTATGGCACCGGTTTCACCAAATTCTGATACTCCTAAGTCAAGTTATGCAATCATTTACAGAAAGTATTCAGACAAAAAATGTTGTAGAAATTTTCTGCTAGAACCTACAATATGAGATATGACTATATACATATTATATAATAGCTGTCACCACACAATGACCACAACATTTTAAGAAATCCTTAGTTTATTATTACCTATACTATGTTCAATCCATTAGACAAGCAATGTGGGTCCAGCTTAACTATCCTTTCCCTTTAAGGTTTGGATTAGATTGATGCCTTGTCACTTAACTTTTCCATGTTATAATTGTCTCTTGTTATTACATGTACCACAACAAGCAAATATTGTCTTTCACTGTTATATCATGAATTACCAAGATTAGGAAGGATGGTAATCATATTGGTGTAAGCAAATAAACTAGTTTGTCACTCATAAAAAATATATATATATATTTTTTTGGAATAAGGGAAAAGTCAATTACATAATACAGCTTATAGGAAGAGTAATGCCCAAAGCATCTCTATCTAGAAAAATTCTACACCCAAGAAGTGGAACAGAAAAAACATGAACCTCTCAATTATCTAGTTGGTGTGCGTAAGCTGCTAGCCAGTCTGCTAGCATGTTCCCCTCTCTGTGGGTATGTGTTATAACCGTATTCCAATCATCAGCAATGGTCATTTTAATTCTGTTGACCAAATGAGCTAGAGGATGGTTCTCCTCACAGCCATTTTTGATTAAATTAACTGCCACCAACGAGTCTCCTTCAAAGCAAACATTTCTGAATCCAGCCTTCTTCGTTTGCTCCACACCCTCCAGGAAGCCACGCAACTCAGCAACGAGGGAGTTTCCAAACCCAAGTCTACCGCAGAAACCTCCAAGCCATCTTCCCTCATCGTCCCTCATAACCCCACCAAAGATAGAGCTTGTTCCTCCATTTTTACTTGAGCCATCAACGTTAACTTTAACCCATCTAGAATGAAGGAGCTGCCAACCAATTTCCTGGACCGTTCTTGTATTCTGAATGCCACTGGTATGTATTAACCTCTGAGATTCGATGGTATTAAGGACGAAAGATTTAATGGCCAAAGACGTACTCCTTTCCTGCAAGGTTTTCCCTTGGAACACTAACTCATTTTTGGCTTTCCAGATATGCCAGTGTAACACCCCGTTCTAGAACCGGTTGGTTAACATCACGTATTACAAAAATGATATAATTAGTATTAACTAGGAAGTTTTCAACCATCAATATTTTATGAAAGAAATCAGTAAAATCATCATGATAAAATGAGATATAAGCAGTCTAAGCACACTATTTTTATTTTTTTATTTTTTCTGGTCAGGAGGGGAGCTAAATCATTGTAATCATCTTTGATATGCTTTGCCAATTTAGCATAGCTTATGGAAAGAATTTTGGGAAAGTTATAGTATCAATAATTAATGATTCCAACACAAGGTTTTTAAAATTCAAAAATTATAGACACAAAGGCATTAACAAGAGCAGCAACAGTAAACCCCCCTTAATTTCGTTAGTCAAAAGAAAAATAAAAAAATAGAACATATTCACAAGGCAAACCCAAACAAAAGAATAGAAAAAAAAAAAGACAAAGATAAGAGAACGTCACCTCTGAACAATCTAAGATTGTGTGACCTTAATTTCTTAAAGTTTATTTAATCTAAGATTCATCTACTCCAGTAAATAAATAAAAAATAAATGGTGATGATATTGACTGAATCATGATTTTATTTAGATAAGAGCTCATACGAAAACAAAAACTAGCAATATTAAAGCTTCAAGTAATGAATCTACCAGAAAACGAACAGTGTAGTAACTAAGGAAAACAAAACAAAAGACCTATTATCGATAATGTTATATCATAAACCCTTCGGAAACACATGCATCAATCTCACTCAAAAGCCCATCTATTCTCATTCCGAATGGCCTCTCCTTTTTCTTCTTTTTGAAGTTACGGTCTCTTCTTCTCCAGGACTAAATTCTTTTCTTTTTTTTGAAGTTATGGCCTCTTCTTCTTCTTCAGGACTAAAATCATTCTTTATAGTGAAGTATTGGCGTATCTCCTCTGGACTCTTATCCTTTATCAAATTTGCCACAATTTGACATGTCAGTTCCAACAGACTCTTAATTTTCAAATATTTTGCCACCTGACAAAGAAATATACCACAAATTAACAATACTATAAAAGAACTTTGATTAAACAGAACATCAACGCTAAGATGCTAAGATCCAATAGACTCTTAGACGAGGTGTTAAATTTTAAATTTGACACTGGTTCTAAAGGATCCTGCCTCATATATATTCATAAACATACATGACAAAATTTCTAAAATATACAAATCCCTAATCCAAACTTAGATTCCATAAAGTACAACACAATTTCTAAAAATTAGGATAGAAAAAACGAAGATATAGCACATTACAGATATGTATTAATTTATTCAGTTCCATGGATTTTTACCATTTTTCACCTTTAATTTTAGCAAAGTACGGATTCTTCGGTTAAAATTTGCACTTTCTTGATTATTCATTTTTCTTAATAACTGAATGGTATGGAAATAATTTCATTGATCTCTTCCAAAATCAAGTTTAATAATTAAATCAAATTCCATAAAATACATTGAAAAAAAAAAACACACTCAGAAAAAATATATCTACATATGAGATATGAGGATAACAGTTAAGAGTCTGCCTCACTGCAAATTTCACTCTCTGAGTCTCACTTATAAAGTTAAAATTTTATGGGAAGTGATTTTGTTTACATGAAAATTTAAATTAAGGGAGACACAAACCCCCAATATCAAATCAGAACGACTATCAACTTAATTGAGAATTTAAAATAAAAATAAATATAACTTATTAAGAAGCAAAAATTGAAAATCAAATCCAAATTACCAATTATATTATCCCTTATCAGCAATTTTTTTTTTTAATTTTTTATCTTGAGATAATAAATTAGGAGCATACACCGACGGATTAAAAACCATTCACTAACTATAAGATTATCGATATCAAATGGTTGAGAGAAATGTTATATATGTGGATGTGAATATTTAGATGCACTCACCATCATTACAAGGAAGAGGGTGTGCTGATCCACCTTAACAAATTCATCATCCCATTTTTTGAGAGCTTCTATGTTGTTGTTGTCATCGTGGGACTCCTCTGTATTATGCTTGTTGCAATACTCAAGGACCTTTGCGAGGGCGAGACTGTTGACATTCTCAAGAGGAATAACACCGCCACCACATTCATCATCAATCAAGTTCTTGATAGTCACTGATTGAACTATCACCGCTTCCTCCACCTCAAACATGTCTTTCTCTGAACTACGCAATTTTATCATCTTCTCATAAGATGAAGAAGAAGAAGACGAAGAGGAAGAAGATGAAGAAGAGGAAGAAGAAGAAGAGGAAGAGGAAGAGGAAGAAGAGGAAGAAGAAGAGGAAGAAGAGGAGGAGGAGGAGCCACAATTATCATCAATCAAGTTCTTGATAGTCACCGATTGAACTATCACCGCTTCCTCCACCTCAAACATGTCTTTCTCTGAACTACGCAATTTTAACAACTTCTCATAAGATGAAGAAGAAGAAGAGGAAGAGGAAGAAGATGAAGAAGAGGAAGAAGAAGAAGAGGAAGAGGAAGAAGAAGTAGAGGAGGAGGAAGAAGAAGAAGAAGAAGAAGAGGAGGAAGAAGAAGAAGACATGGTCAAATGTAAAGATAAAAAGGTTGTAGAGAGATAGGGCACACTATGCAGAATTAGCATTGAGAGGGTTGGGTTTGCGTTGCACTAATATATATAAAAAATTATTAAGGATTTTTTTTTCCTCAAGTAACTCAGAAATAGGATCACAAAATTGCATAAATCTATTTCAAATTTCAAATTTGAATCAAATCAGAACCTTGAATGAAAATAATAAATGATATAATTAGTATTAATTGTGACGTTTTCAAAGTTTCAACCTTGAATGGCATTGATTGTGAAATTCGAATTTCAAAGTTTTCACCTTAAAAGAAAATAGTAGACATTGATTGAGAAATTGAAATTGAAGTTTGGAAGTTTTTAACCTTGAATAAAAATAATAAATGATATAATTAGTATTAACTAGGAAGTTTTCAACCTTCAATATTTTATGAAAGAAATCAGTAAAATCATCATGCAAAAATGAGATATAAGCAGTCTAAGCACACTATTTTTATTTTTTTTATTTTTTCTGGTCAGGAGGGGAGCTAAATCATTGTAATCATCTTTGATATGCTTTGCCAATTTAGCATAGCTTATTGAAAGAATTTTGGGAAAGTTATAGTATCAATAATTAATGATTCCAACACAAGGTTTTTAAAATTCAAAAATTATAGACACAAAGGCATTAACAAGAGCAGCAACAGTAAACCCCCCTTAATTTCGTTAGTCAAAAGAAAAATAAAAAAATAGAACATATTCACAAGGCAAACCCAAACAAAAGAATAGAAAAAAAAAAAAAAAGATAAGAGAACGTCACCTCTGAACAATCTAAGATTGTGTGACCTTAATTTCTTACAGTTTATTTAATCTAAGATTCATCTACTCCAGTAAATAAATAAAAAATAAAAGGTGATGATATTGACTGAATCATGATGTTATTTATATAAGAGCTCATACGAAAACAAAAACTAGCAATATTAAACCTTCAATTAATGAATCTACCAGAAAACGAACAGTGTAGTAACTAAGGAAAACAAAACATAAGACCTATTATCGATAATGTTATATCATAAACCCTCCGGAAACACATGCATCAATCTCACTCAAAAGCCCATCTATTCTCGTTCCGAATGGCCTCTTCTTTTTCTTCTTTTTGAAGTTACGGTCTCTTCTTCTCCAGGACTAAATTTTTTTCTTTTTTTTGAAGTTAAGGCCTCTTCTTCTTCTTCAGGACTAAAATCATTCTTTATATTGAAGTATTGGCGTATCTCCTCTGGACTCTTATCCTTTATCAAATTTGCCACAATTTGACATGTCAGTTCCAACAGACTCTTAATTTTCAAATAATTTGCCGCCTGACAAAGAAATATACCACAAATTAACAATACTAAATAGGATCACAAAATTGCATAAATCTATTTCATCAAATTTGAATCAAATCAGAACCTTGAATGATTATAATAAAAGATATAATTATTATTAATTGTGACGTTTTCAAAGTTTCAACCTTGAATGGCATTGATTGTGTAATTCGAATTTCAAAGTTTTCACCTTAAAAGAAAATAGTAAATGACATTGATTGAGAAATTGAAATTGAAGTTTGGAAGTTTTTAACCTTGAATAAAAATAATAAATGATATAATTAGTATTAACTAGGAAGTTTTCAACCTTCAATATTTTATGAAAGAAATCAGTAAAATCATCATGCAAAAATGAGATATAAGCAGTCTAAGCACACTATTTTTATTTTTTTATTTTTTCTGGTCGGGAGGGGAGCTAAATCATTGTAATCATCTTTGAAATGCTTTGCCAATTTAGCATAGCTTATTGAAAGAATTTTGGGAAAGTCATAGTATCAATAATTAATGATTCCAACACAAGGTTTTTAAAATTCAAAAATTATAGACACAAAGGCATTAACAAGAGCAGCAACAGTAAACCCCCCTTAATTTCGTTAGTCAAAAGAAAAATAAAAAAATAGAACATATTCACAAGGCAAACCCAAACAAAAGAATAGAAAAAAAAAAGACAAAGATAAGAGAATGTCACCTCTGAACAATCTAAGATTGTGTGACCTTAATTTCTTACAGTTTATTTAAGCTAAGATTCATCTACTCCAGTAAATAAATAAAAAAGAAACTAAGGAAAACAAAACATAAGACCTATTATCGATAATGTTATATCATAAACCCTCCGGAAACACATGCATCAATCTCACTCAAAAGCCCATCTATTCTCGTTCCGAATGGCCTCTTCTTTTTCTTCTTTTTGAAGTTACGGTCTCTTCTTCTCCAGGACTAAATTTTTTTCTTTTTTTTGAAGTTAAGGCCTCTTCTTCTTCTTCAGGACTAAAATCATTCTTTATATTGAAGTATTGGCGTATCTCCTCTGGACTCTTATCCTTTATCAAATTTGCCACAAATTGACATGTCAGTTCCAACAGACTGTTAATTTTCAAATAATTTGCCTCCTGACAAAGAAATATACCACAAATTAACAATACTAAATAGGATCACAAAATTGCATAAATCTATTTCAAATTTCAAATTTGAATCAAATCAGAACCTTGAATGATTATAATAAAAGATATAATTATTATTAATTGTGACGTTTTCAAAGTTTCAACCTTGAATGGCATTGATTGTGTAATTCGAATTTCAAAGTTTTCACCTTAAAAGAAAATAGTAAATGACATTGATTGAGAAATTGAAATTGAAGTTTGGAAGTTTTTAACCTTGAATAAAAATAATAAATGATATAATTAGTATTAACTAGGAAGTTTTCAACCTTCAATATTTTATGAAAGAAATCAGTAAAATCATCATGCAAAAATGAGATATAAGCAGTCTAAGCACACTATTTTTATTTTTTTATTTTTTCTGGTCGGGAGGGGAGCTAAATCATTGTAATCATCTTTGATATGCTTTGCCAATTTAGCATAGCTTATTGAAAGAATTTTGGGAAAGTCATAGTATCAATAATTAATGATTCCAACACAAGGTTTTTAAAATTCAAAAATTATAGACACAAAGGCATTAACAAGAGCAGCAACAGTAAACCCCCCTTAATTTCGTTAGTCAAAAGAAAAATAAAAAAATAGAACATATTCACAAGGCAAACCCAAACAAAAGAATAGAAAAAAAAAAAAAAAGATAAGAGAACGTCACCTCTGAACAATCTAAGATTGTGTGACCTTAATTTCTTACAGTTTATTTAATCTAAGATTCATCTACTCCAGTAAATAAATAAAAAATACATGGTGATGATATTGACTGAATCATGATTTTATTTAGATAAGAGCTCATACGAAAACAAAAACTAGCAATATTAAACCTTCAAGTAATGAATCTACCAGAAAACGAACAGTGTAGTAACTAAGGAAAACAAAACATAAGACCTATTATCGATAATGTTATATCATAAACCCTCCGGAAACACATGCATCAATCTCACTCAAAAGCCCATCTATTCTCGTTCCGAATGGCCTCTTCTTTTTCTTCTTTTTGAAGTTACGGTCTCTTCTTCTCCAAGACTAAATTTTTTTCTTTTTTTTGAAGTTATGGCCTCTTCTTCTTCTTCAGGACTAAAATCATTCTTTATATTGAAGTATTGGCGTATCTCCTCTGGACTCTTATCCTTTATCAAATTTGCCACAATTTGACATGTCAGTTCCAACAGACTCTTAATTTTCAAATAATTTGCCGCCTGACAAAGAAATATACCACAAATTAACAATACTATAAAAGCACTTTGATTAAACAGCACATCAACGCTAAGATGCTAAGATCCAACAGACTCTTAGACGAGGTGTTAAATTTTAAATTTGACACTGGTTCTAAAGGATCCTGCCTCATATATATTGATAAACATACATGACAAAATTTCTAAAATATACAAATCCATAATCCAAACTTAGATTCCATAAAGTACAACACAATTTCTAAAAATTAGGATAGAAAAAACGAAGATATAGCACATTACAGATATGTATTAATTTACGCAATTCCATGGATTTTTACCTTTTTTCACCTTTAATTTTAGCAAAGTACTGATTCTTCGGTTAAAATTTGCGCTTTCTTGATTATTCATTTTTCTTAATAACTGAATGGTATGGAAATAATTTCATTGATCTCTGCCAAAATCAAGTTTAATAATTAAATCAAATTCCATAAAATACATTGAAAAAAAGAACACACTCAGAAAAAATATATCTACATATGAGATATGAGGATAACAGTTAAGAGTCTGCCTCACTGCAAATTTCACTCTCAGAGTCTCACTTATAAAGTTAAAATTTTATGGGAAGTGATTTTGTTTACATGAAAATTTAAATTAAGGGAGACACAAACCCCCAATATCAAATCAGAACGACTATCAACTTAATTGAGAATTTAAAATAAAAATAAATATAACTTATTAAGAAGCAAAAATTGAAAATCAAATCCAAATTACCAATTATATTAACCCTTATCAGCGAATTTTTTTTTTATTTTTTATCTTGAGATAATAAATTAGGAGCATACACCGACGGATTAAAAACCATTCACTAACTATAAGATTATCGATATCAAATGGTTGAGAGAAATGTTATATATGTGGATGTGAGTATTTAGATGCACTCACCATCATTACAAGGAAGAGGGTGTGCTGATCCACCTTAACAAATTCATCATCCCATTTTTTGAGAGCTTCTATGTTGTTGTCGTCGTGGGACTCCTCTGCATGATGCTTGTTGCAATACTCAAGAACCTTTGCGAGGGCGAGACTGTTGACATTCTCAAGAGGAATAACACCGCCACCACATTCATCATCAATCAAGTTCTTGATAGTCACTGATTGAACTATCACCGCTT